GGGAATGAAGCTCCGAGGTCTTCAGATCGCTCCAATACTTGCCCAAGGGTTTCTCTTCATCACTCTCTCTCTAGGGTTCTTTTTCGACCATTAGAAGTCCAAAAATCTAGATCCTTTGCAAATTTCCCGAGCAGCCTTTAAATAGGCTGAGTATCCGGGAGTTACGGCCTAAGTTACGGCATTGTTGCACTCCGTAAACCAAGAGTTACGGCTTCCTTTGGGAAGTTACGGTCTCAACCATAACTGGAAGAGGGAGACCGTAACAAAAAAAAAACACTTTCGAAACTTATGCCGACGCTTCCTAGGAGCTACGGGTACCAAGGATGAGTTACGTCCTTGACGTAACTTGGAAGATCAGCCCGTAACTCTAAGAAAGCTACTGGATCTCTTCGTTCTCCACTTGCCAGTTAGGGCTCCTCAGGGGAAGTTACGGACCAGACCGTAACTCACAAGGAATGGTCGTAACTTCCTGGTGCTCGCTGTCCTTCACTCCAAACGTCCCGAAACCTCACTCCATCACGCGCATTCACGTACTAAGTCTTGAAACATCAAAAACTAACACGCACAAGCGTAAAATAGGCCACGAGAGCAAGAAACAAAACTCAAAGGGTCAAGAAATGAAGGGAAAAACATGTTTGAATATGGCATTATCAAATTCCTCCACACTTAACCGTTTGCTTGTCCCAAAGCAAACCGAATTAGTCACACGGTAAGCTCAAAACATTTTAACCATGCAAATCTTAGGGACATATCATACATGCACAAACACGTGAATCATACTAGCCACCAGACCTGAACACATAGACAACAGCAACATCAACAGCAACACGAACAACCACCACAGATGACATTCGAGTGCAACAAAATCGATTAAGAGTCTCCCTTCTGTTCACCAACCAACATAAACTTGACTCAACCACTTATTGAATACAGACACCTTATGCATAAAATTCAAGACATCATAATCAAGACCGAGCAATAGGTCCTCACCGGGAAAGAGAATGTAAAGAATATAGGAAAATGAATCTCTCACTCTCTACCAGTGGGGTCGGGACAATTTGATGCGAAAGATGCGCATGCTCATTCTCTCAATCCTAACGTCTCTTTACCATGATGGAAGCCGCTAAATGCTAGAGTTCACATATCGGGTGTCACCACTAACTAATATGGAGGTCTTAGATACAGGTTCAGATGACTGGCTAGGGTCTTGGACACGGGGAAAAAGCCTTTTAGGTGGTGGAAGAATTCAAAGCACAGGGTTCCACAGTTCCAAAACCAACAAAGTCATAATCATTCAAACCATTTACTTTCCTTCTACCATTCTACATTAATCCAATTTCTCAGAGTACAAGAGTGAAGGAGGTCACATAATACGCCCCTAGGGTGGTGTATATTATCAAAGTCACGCAGCTAATGACTCAATCGAAGGATCGATTGAGCTCGAATCAATAACAAAACGTTCTTAATACGAACTTGGATAAAATGGAGCCAAAAGTGCAATTCCACACCTGTGGAAAGGCTCGATTGGTATAATGATAGATGCCCGACCATGATTGAAGTAACTATTCAATCGATACAGAGCTCAACGATCTTGGAATCCACCAAAGCTCACACACGTACGCAAACTTGCAAAAACCCAAAGGTTTGGATTTAATTCATCAAAGTCTAAGTTTTTACAACGTAAATAGAAGGCTATTTATAGCTAAGAAAACCTAATACAAACCTAAATGAACAAGGAAACAAATAAGGTAAACTTCTACTCTAAAAAGGACTCAAAATTCGGCCATAAACTTCTTTTCTTCAAGCACAGGTAAACTGCCTTTTAGCACAATCAAACTATCAGAAAACACTTTTCGTACTAACTTCTTGCCGTTCGTTCGAGGCCTTCCCGAACTTCAATCTTTCATTCAATTCCTGTCCTTTGTATATAAACATACCTAGTTTCATTTTGTGGAAGCCTTTGGACTTTAATCAGATCCATACTCCTCGAATTAAGCTCCAAAGTAGACTTCACAAAACAGTTTGCAGACTTAACCATTTTCTGGCAATTTTCCAGTTTTGAGGTCGCAAATTTGAGGTCTTGGAAAACAACCTTAATGACATATTATGCATCCAAAAATCATACCATTGGAACTATGGAAACTTTATCTTTAAAACAAGCCATTGATCTCCAATTTTCATTGATCCATTTGGAAGATACAAGCTTCCAAAGTAGGCCACCTGAAACTGTTTCAACACTATGCCAAAAATCAGAATTCTTCAAGTCAGTTGAGATGACTTCTTTGGCAAGTAATTGTGAATTATGAATTGATCCAATTAGGATCATATAATCACAATATTGCTAGTATTCCTAAGCCAGATCGCTAAGAAACACTACTTAATGCGCATGATGTTTATGGTGGCTCTCTTTTGCTTTCATTTATTTTTTCTTCTTTATTTTTTTTCTTTTGTTTCTTTAGAGAAACACCTTTACACTCTTTTCAAACAGATGTTCAACATTTAAGAACTACCTCCATCACTCATATTTTTTGGGGCAGAACAACAGAGAACATGCAAAAACCACTCTGTGGAACCTCTAAGAGATGCAAAAGGGTGATTTTCATTAAAGACTGAAAGAAAGGAAGTTCAACGTCTCAAAGGGGCTAACTAGGGGTAGACACCAGGACAGTCAATTTGGTCGTGGGATAATCCTATGCCTCCATCATCTTAATTAGTAACAACGTGACTTCTACACATCATGAAAGAGGGATCTATCGCACAAGAAAGAAACGAGCTGGCTCAAATCTCACATGGCTACCTATATGCTCTATCTCTCATTTTGATTTCCTGAACTAGATGCATAAACGACTATAGCAAATAAGTGATCAATTCAAGTCAAAGTTGGTAAGCAAATAGTTGAGAACTGGAACCCTACACGGTTCTACTGCACGTCTCAATCATCAGTACAGGTTGTCCTAGTCACAAGCAAGTTACCATGCATCAATGCTAATAGCCAATCGATTCACCACATAAACCACAGTCCCAATACGATCATGCCAACATCAGTACTTGGAGCACTTAAATCTCGAGATTCGGACAGCGGACTAGGCTCCAAGCAAACATACATATGTTCCCATAAATACAAAGCACCCCCCCTACACACACACACACACACACACACACACACACACACACACACACACACACTAAGTTCAACATTGCCCTCAATGGAGCAGAGGAAAGGGGAACGATGTTACCAAAAAATGATGAGCGGGAACGGTGGCAGACCAGTCAAGAGAAGTGGACTGGAAGGGGACCAATCCAAAGGCACAGATCTAGTGTCATCAAAACACAGTGGGTGATAGAAACCATAGTTCCAAGTCGAAAAACAAAAAAAAAAACAAATAAACAAACAAACAAACAAACAAAAGAAAAGCAAACCATGGTGGGGTTGCCTCCCCACAAGCGCTTCTTTTACGTCTTTAGCTGGATGCAGAGGGTGGATGCTGAGAGCGGTGGAGGAACAGGTGCCTTCAAGAGCGGATCCACATCGCTCTTGAGGTACAGCTTCAGATGGTGGCCATGCACATGGTGGGTGCGACCACCATCACATGTCAGCGCGACCAGGCCATCCGGTGAAAGACAACATGCAAAGGCGATAAAGTAGACATATTATTAGCAATGGAAAATTTTATCTACTCCTCACCATCCCTCAAAATTAAAGTGACATCATGCACATATATGAGAGCCTTGGAGGTAGCAAGGAAAGGCCTACCTAGTATAAGGGGCACTTCTGCGTTCTCATTAATGTCCAAGACAACAAAATCCGCAGGATAAAAGAATATGCCAACCTTAACCATGAGGTCTTCCACTATGCCCCTAGGATGAACTACAGATCGATCAGCTAATTGGATACTCATCCTAGTTATACTAGGTTCACCTAGGCCTAGTTTCTTGAACAATTTATATGGTATAACATTGATACTAGCTCCTAGATCCACCGAGGACCCTACATGCAATTTACCAATAGACACGGGATAGTAAAACTACATAGGTCCTTCTGCTTCTGTGGAAGCTTGTTCTGCTGAATGTCCGAGCACTCCTCGCTTATCATCACTGTCGAGAGATCCCCAAGTTTCTTCTTGTTGGTGAGGAGATCCTTCCTGAATTTTGCATACTTGGGCATCCTCGACAGTGCCTCCACGAACGGCATGCTGATGTTGACCTGCTTCAACATTGCCATGAATTTGACGAAGAAGCTATCGAAGTTGGGAAGAAGAAAGGCAGAATTTGGCCAAGTCAAAATCCGTGTTCAGTACATACTTTGGAGGCACGGTTCTCTCAATTAGCTTGGTGGAAATAGTTTAAGGGTTTTTTTGCAGATAAAGTGTCCATCTTTCCAATGGTATGCTTTGTGGATCCAGATGATGTCATTAAGGTTGTTTTCCAAGGCCTCAAAGTTGCTACATCAAAACTGGAAAACTGTCATGAAATGGTTAAGTCTGGAAACGTGTTCGTGAGGCCTAATTTGGAGCTCAATTCAAGGAGCATGGATCTGATTCGAGACCAAAGGCTTCTACAACAACATGAAACTTGTATGTTTATCTACCAAGGGAAGGAATTGGATGAAGGATTGAAATTCTGGAAGGGCTCGAACGAAAGCTCCAAATATCGTATTGAGACCACATTTTCTGTCTTTGGAATTCAGCAAAATTCGAATCCTTCTCGGATTAGGATAAGGAGACTGTTTGTGTTGAATTCCTTTTTGTTATTGATTTTGTATTTCTTTTCCTAGTAGATTGTAGTAAGAACTTTTCTAAGAGTGTTAGGACTAGCTGAGTCTATTTAAGTAGCTTTGATTTGTTGTAATCTGCAGTTTAGAATTTATTAAATTGAATAACAAACCGAGTGTTTGATTTCTTGAGTTGCGTCTCGGGAGTTCTACCATTGTCATTAGCTTCGAGTGGATTCCTTAGCTAATTACAAGACCCTTGTGAGGCTATTCTGAGTAGATTCCATAATCATTTAGCAAGTTCTCTTATCAATCGATTAATCACCTCGATTGTGGCAAGAATTCTACCATCTGTTTTATTTTTTCGTTGAAGAGGTTTGAGTTGCGTATTCTGATTAAAGAAAGCACCCCCTGGTGCTTTATCATGCTCCTTAACCACTTGTTGTGGCTTGGGAGTAGGTCCTTCCTTCTCTATCCCCACCTCTTCATCTTCAGCTGGAAGTGCTGGAGCAGGTGTTGGTTCCTCCTGCCTGGCAGGAGCAGGTATAGTAGACATCGTCTTGCCACTTCTAGTAGTGATGGCATCTAAATACTGGCGAGGCTTGCGAGGATTTGGGATGGTGTTGGCAAGTCGAGTTCTTGGTGCCCTGGTGTTATTGTGACGAGTGATTCCTCTAATCTGGTTTTGGAGGTCCTGCAAAATAGCACTCTGGTTTCTTTGGCCTGCCTCTAGTGCATTGAATTTCCCCTTAGACAATTCCATGAACTGGTCCATCCTGACAAACTTCTCTATGCTTGTGCTCACGAAAGTTGTTACCATATTTTTTAGCTCCGACATTTGGTTACCCTGTGTTGAGGCTGCTGCCGGCTAGGCAAATTGCCTCTACTACTGCTGGAAGGGTTGCCCCCCGTCTGGGCTAAAATCGACTACTGCTGCGAAAATGGACCATGTCGGGTCTATTACTGCTACCTCTGCTAAAAACCACCAGCTGGTGCTGTGAAACCGAGAGGCTTGGTGGTGGTGCTGTTGTTACCACTCCATGAGAAATTGGGATGTTGGCACCACCCCTCATTATAGGTACCACTGTCGGGCATTGGCGATGAAGTCCAACTGCTCCTAGGGTGTGGAGGACTCTCGCATAGCCTGACAATCATCCGCCAAGTTTTTCAAACCATCACATCACTGGCACTGTGCTATAGGAGGTGCGGCCATGCCTCTTCCTGGTATGATGCTGTTAGGATGCTTGATAGACCGTTAATTACACATGTTTTTACCCCTGTTCTTACACCGTTTGAGATGTGATTTCTCGTGTTTTAGACCGATTTCACGCTAGGTTGTGCTTGTTTGTGATATTTCAGGTCCTGGCAAGTGAATGAAGGTTTAGGAGCGAGTTCGGGGTCGATTGGGTGAAGATCGGGCGCGAGACAAGTCACAAAGGAGGTCACACGGGCTGCCCTGATGTTCACACGGCCGTGTGAAGTAATGGCCTGGCCGTGCGAGTTTTGCCGAGAGCAGACACGGGCAGAGCAGAGGATCGACACGGCCGTGCAAGTGGCCGGGTTGGCCGTGCCACATTCTGCGAGAGCAAACACGGGCAAGAGGGGATGTCCACACGGCCGTGCCATTCTGGCCGTGCAAAGAGCCTGGAATTCAACTAAATGAAACGATGCGTTTTGACTCACACGGGCAACTGGGTGAGCTGCACGGCCGTGCCACCCTGGCCGTGTGAGTCGGGATTTTCTCCTTTTAAGCAGAATTTCAGCCACAATTCGAGGGGATTCGAGTTTTTGAGAGAGAGATCAGTTCCTAGAGAGAGAAAGTGACGAGCAAGAGTTCCCAAGTGCCCTAGATTGATCTTCAACACCATTGGAGGCCAGCTTGAGCTTGGAGAAGTGCCAATCAACGTCCAGAAGCAGGAATCCATCCTTCGCAGTATGAATTCCGTGTCTGAATCTGCTTTTGCTTTCTTCTCTATGGAGTAGTTCTCCCATTCATCTGGGTATGGAGAACCCTAGATTTGTATGTTAGGCTTTGATTGTATGAACCCAAGTACTGATTCTGTGATTGATTATATTCGATTGAGGTTTTGATGATTGAATGACTTGAATCCTGATCAAATTCCTGTTGTTTCTGCTTTAACCTAGAATGAGAATATCTGCCTAGGTTAATAGAGTATCCTTGATTGAAGGTAGGGAGTTGGTGACTTTAGTCGAGGAGCCAACTCACTATTCTGTACCGGATTTACTCCGGTAGTGGAGGTTTTGTTCTTAGGGCCTCAATCTGTCGACTTCGGTGGAGGTTAGTCGCCCGCTAGAGAGTCAGATTGAGAGGGTCTGAAGACCTTTAGTCGAGACTTCAGGCTGTTTAAGAACCTTCCGCAGTATAATCTTCATAGAAACTGAACTTGGTAATTACAATCCGGCTTAACTGCAGTCTAGGGGGAACCATATCCGGGTGACCTCTTTAACCTGAATACAACAGTTTACTTGCTTTGTTTGTTTGGTAGTTTAGACTTGCACTCCAGTTTTATTGCTAGATAACAAGAACTCACTGAGTAGTCAGCAAATCTAGGACCCGGGTTGATAATTAAACCCAAACCCGCTATACTACGCTTTAGGAAGTGGTTTCACTTGGCCAATTCCTGGAGTGACAGTAGAGTCGAGTCAAGTTTTTGGCGCCGTTGCCGGGGACGGCTAGGTTGTTGAAGAAAAGTGATTTCTGTTAATTTAGCTTTTCTTTTTGCTTTGTTTTCTTTGTCCCACTTGTGCCTTCACGGGTTTGTTGCTTGAGTGTGTGCAGGTAGTGCATGACCCGTAGCCAGTCGGGAGGTTTACTGCCGTTGAATCCAGAGATTGACCGCACCTGTCGCCAGCTCAGGAGACAACAGCGAGCTAGACTGGCTACGGAAGAGCGCATAGACGGCCACCTGAGCAGCGATTCTGAAGAAGAGCACGGGATGGACGGAGACTACAACCAACACCAGGGGAATCCACAACAGGTTCCCCCGGTGAATCAGGTCCTGGGGAACAACCCCATACCCCAGGACCATGGAGTTCATCATCCCCGGCAGCCGGGCCCCACCTTGGAGTACTACTACACTCCGCGGATTGCTGACATCCGCCCGGTCATCCTCTACCCGCCTATTCCAGCAAACAATTTCGAGATCAAGCCATGCTGGATTCAGCTCATTACATCATCTATCCAGTTCCATGGCTTGAAGAATGAGGAGGCCAGGGTGCATCTTTCCCGTTTTCTACAGCTGACGAACGGGTTCAAGCTGAATGGTGTCCCGGATGATGCGATCCGCCTTCATTTCTTCCCCCATTCTCTGGCGGGGAATGCTAAGAGGTGGTTGGAGACCCAGCCCCCATTGTCCATCACCTCTTGGGACGATCTGGCGGACAAATTCGTGCACAGGTATTATCCGGCATCGAAGACTACAGAGATTCAGCGGGAGATCACTCACTTCCGCAGGAGCCAGAGGAGTCACTTCGTGATGCTTGGGAGCGGTACATGGGCTACTTCTGGCAGTGCCCCCACCATGGCTTTAGTGATGCTTTCACAGTGGGGAATTTCTACAGCGCTCTCTCCCCAGATAGCCAGAGGGTGATTGAGTCTCTATGCCCAGGAGGAGATATTCTCACTAAGACTCCACCCGAGCCGAACCAGATGATCAGTACTTTGGCTGCCAGAGATCATTCTTGGGGACAGGGTAGCCGAGGCAGACAGCCCCGGGACCGTGGTGTGCACGCCATGGAGACCAGATCCGGGCTCGAGCAGCAGGTAGCTGAGCTAGTGCAGACATTGAAGCAGCCCAACAGTCTTATTCCGGGCAAAGGTTTGGCTACACCTCCAGTTGCTCAGTGTCAGTGGTGTGAGAGCTCCAATCACCTAGTGGAGGACTGCCAGGCTATGAGGGAGTCTACCACACCCCAGGAGCAGTTGGCCTTCATTGCCAATGCGCGGCGCCTCGATCCATACAGTAGCACATATAATGAGGGGTGGCGCCAGCATCCCAACTTCGCCTGGAGCAGCAACACCACTAAACCACCTGGTTTCCCAGCACCAGCAGGTGGTTTTCAGCAGAGGCAGCCCTTCCAGACTCGCCAGGGGCCAGACCCACAGCAGCAGCCCTACCAGCCTAGGCAGGGCCAGCCATTCCAGTAGCCCCAGCGCCAGTTTGCCGAGCCAGCAGCAGCTCCGGCCCCAGATGACAGGATGACGAAGCTGGAAAACATTCTAGCTTCATTCATGACCAGCACCCAGGCTGCTATCACATCACTGGAGGCAGGTCAGCGGAACCAGGGTGCTATTTTGCAGGATCTGCAGACCCAGGTGGGCATCTTGGCCCGCCAGAACACCACCAGGGCACCAGGGACTTTGCCTGCCACCACTATTCCTAATCCTCGAGATCCTCACCAGCATCAGCAGCTGGATGCCATTTTTACCAGGAGCGGTAAAGTCATATCTGCTGATCCTGTCCCGGCCAGACAGGAGGAACCACTACCTGCTTCAGCACTTCCAGCCGACGATGCAGAAGTGCGGGTGGAGAAGGAAACCCCTGCTCCCAAGCCACAACCAGTGGTTAAGGAGCATGTACCCCAGCTTCCCTTCCCCACTCGCCTACACAAGGACAAGCTGGAGACTCAGTTTGCCAAGTTCATGGCAATGTTGAAGCAGCTCAACATCAGCATACCGTTCATGGAGGCATTGTCGAAGATGCCCAAGTATGCTAAGTTCATGAAAGATATCTGCACCAGCAAGAAGAAACTTGGGGATCTCTTGACAGTGATGTTGAGCGAGGAGTGTTCTGCTATCCTGCAGAACAAGCTGCCCGAGAAGCGCAAGGATCCAGGGAGTTTTACTATCCCTCTTACTATTGGCAGCATGCATGTAGGCAAGTCCTTGGCGGACCTAGGCGCTAGCATTAACGTCATGCCATATAAGTTGTATAAAATGCTAGACCTAGGTCAACTTAGCCCTACTAGGATGAGCATTCAGTTAGCTGATCGTTCTATCGTGCATCCTAAGGGTATCATTGAGGATCTGCTTGTTAAAGTAGGTACATTCACATATCCTGTTGATTTTGTTATTCTTGATGTGCATGAGGATGTGGATGTGCCTTTGATTCTAGGTAGGCCATTTCTTGCCACCGCCAAGGCACTAATTGATGTGCATGATGGTAAGTTGATCTTGCGTGCTGGGGATGAACAGGCTACTTTTTCTGTGACTTAGTTTGATCACTGTGCTATGATTGCTGTCACGCCTGTGCATGCTATGTCTGATCAGGTACACGAGTCTGTCGTGTACCCTTCTGCACCTCCTATTTTGCAGGACCCTCCTATCACTCCTTCGCCGCCACTCCATCCAGCCTCGCCTCCGAACAAAAAGCTCAAGGAGGAGTGGCGGCCGAAGCCGCAGGTTGCTAAGCCTGCACGTAAGAAGAGTGGAGACCACTATGAGCTGGTCCCACCTCCTGCACCACGACCACCCTGGCCGTCTGGGTACTCACTCGCCTGCATCTTGCCAGACGGGCAGGTCGAGCTGACTGATGATGGTGGTCGCATCCGTCGGGTGCATGGCCACAACCTGAAGCTGTACCTCAAGAGCGACGTGGATCCGCTCTTGGAGGCACCTGTTCCTGCACCGCCCTGAGAATCCACCATGGGCGTCCAGCTAATACGACGGTAAAGAAGCGCTTGTGGGGAGGCAACCCCACCACGGTTTGATTTTGTTTCTTGTGTTTTGAGTCGGATTGTAACCCGGTTTGGGTTTGGTTTGTTTTCTTTTGGTTTGGATGATATTTTATTGGGCTGACCATTGAACCTAACATATTG